CAAAGAATTGAGATAAAAGCCCACGTAGATCTTAAAAGGGAGCAAGGCAACTTTCTTCAAATCAAAGCAGTAGTAGATATTAGAATGGAATATACGGTCAATATTGACAGCAGGCCATATGGACAAAAGTCTCAACAGCCTCAGTTACTTTTGGGGACTTACTTTTATGGAGTTTAAAATAAGTTTGTTTTTTAAAGAGTGCAGTTTGGGTGGTTCTCTGTGGGAGCCCACAAAGGTTTTCTAGTGAGATCTGAGCTTGCTTTACCCAGCAGGGCTGCATAAGGGGATGGATTGACCACATGCGTAGTTACCAGGTGATTGGAAGGGTCTGCACTTGGCTGTGCTAGGGGGAGGTCTTTTGCCCCACCCCTTGGCATTCCTTTAAAAAGCCCTTTAGAAGAGACAGAAGGGGCCAGTGGATAAGGATCCAGGCCCTCTGGAGGCTATCCTGTGTTTCTGTCTTTTTATCTCCCCTCTATCCTGCTATCTAAATCTCTTATCCCTCACTCCCCAAGCGTACCCTGGAGTAAAGGTAGGAGCACCCCCACCCCCACCCCCACCCCCCGCAGTTCTCTATTTTGACTGACTGTTATACAAATGTTTTCTCTACTGTTCATGTCCCTTTCCATAATGCTTCTAATTTAATCATATGCATGTTCCATGATGCATAGGAATAAGATGATAAACAGCGGATTCTTCCTAAAAGGCCATTTTAGGGTATAGTTTGCCTTATTGTGAATATACCCAACACTAACTCAAGACAGAGGGGCTTCCAACTTACTGCAACTGCACGCAACAGAAATAATGATGAACAAGGTCTTTGTTAGTTTGATGCTTTTTAAAGAAAGGAGAAACTTACTCCATTATTAAGAGGGAATGGGTGTATACCTCCATACAGATCAGGGTCCTCAGTTATTAACAGGTTGCTAGGTGCAAGAGCTGCTTCCATAGTATATGCAAATAAAAGTCTCAGAATGCCAAGTGCATTGTTAGAAGAGGGATATGCACAGGACCCACACCAAGTAGAGTCCTAGGTCAGTAAACTATTCCCTATGCCTGCCTGACTCATCACCATGCCAGGTTATGTGTGCTGGAGTCTGGATTCAGAGCTTTACGCATACTAGATCAGCACTCCACCAATGGAGCTATATCCTACCCTTGAATTAAGTCAACTTCTGAATCTCATCACATTCTGACTGCTTTTCTACACCAGTTTGCATATTTTGCTTAATCAATGTAGTTGTTACACTTTTCATGACTATTACCAAGAAAACAACTTAAGGGGAAAAAATTGTTTTGCCCATGGCTTCAGACATTTCTGTCCATCTTATCAGGGAGGGTAGACTGGATCAAAGCCACTCAGATCATGGCTGACTGGAAGCAGAGAGAGAATGCCTACATTAGCTGGTTTCCCCACTTTCTCCTTTTATTCCACAGCTGCCCTTGCCCCCGGTCTATAGAATGGTGCCACACATTCAAGATGGGCCTTGCAAATTAGTTATTCCTCTCTGGAAATGCCCTCTCAGATATATGAAGAACTGTGTTTAACAATCCCATAGGCAGGAGTAGGTAGATTACTCAGTGGTAGTTCTTTGCTGTGCACACATGAGAACCTGAGTTTAGATCCTTGGCACCCATGTAAAAAGCTGGACATAGTAGTGTGCGCCTGTAATCCCAGCACTGGGAGGCAGAGACAGGAGGATCCTTTGGGCTTACTGGCCAGATGATCTAGCCTATCAGTGAGTTCCAGGTTCAGTGAGAGAGCCTATCTCAAAAACACAAGGTGGAGAGTGATAGAAGGAGACACCCAGTATCAACCTCTGAACTCTACACACACACACACACACACACACACACACACACACACACACACACATGCACGCACGCACGCACGCATGCACACACGCACACACGCACATACCAAACAAATAATAATCTCATATGACTTCTAAATCCAGTCAAAATGACAAGATTAAGGCATGGAGTGGGTAAAGGGCTGTCCGCCGAGCCAGACCACCTGGGTTCAATCCCTGGGATCACATGGCAGAGGAAGAGAACCGACTCCCCCCAAACTGTTTTCTGATCACCACATATGCCCAGAGCCCATGTTTGCTTACACACATATAATAATAATAATAATAATAATAATAATAATAATAATAATAATAAGCTAGATAACATGCAACAAAATAATTGAACTATAAATTAACCAGCAAAATCCAGGGCTGAGTGCAATCTGATGCTGTAATTTCTCTGCACACTTCCATATACATCTTGCACATATTACACCTTGGTGTAGGTGAGTTTGAGAAGGCTTACATAGGTAAGGGACTGAGTTTGTATCATCAAGATGCTATTCCAAATTGGTTATTCCAAACTTATCAGTCTGGGTATTGGTCATTAGCTGCCCACCAAACACTGGTACCTCCCACTTCCTGGGTTTGCCCCATCTTCACCTCAGGTTTTACTTTTGGTTGCCAGGAAAAACTCGTTTTTCTTTAGGATGCAGAACTGCTCAGCTCTTTCTAACTTCTGCTTTATCGCAGTCACCTCTACCAAGAAGGGCATTGGACCATGGGGCTATGGAGAAATCAGAACCTATTTGCAAAATGCAGTGGTAGTGTTAAGCAGGAACTTTTCTGCATAGAAATTTAATGTTAATTAACCAAGATTTGTGTGTGTGTGTGTGTGTGTCTGTGTGTGTCTGTGTGTGTGTGTCTGTCTGTCTGTCTGTCTGTCTGTGTCTGTGTCTGTGTCTGTGTATGGTTCTAGGAATGTTACTGGAACCTCATGTGAACTAGCTAAGTATTCTGCCATATTTCTAGCCCAGCCAAGAGTTTTAACATAGTGTATACTTTATATTGATGAATTCAGGTGGTTATGAGCACATGCCCCTAAGAATTCATTAAACTATCGCTCTTCTGGAACCATGTGACACACACCCTCTCCATTTTTCATTCTATTCTTCCCTCTCCTCTTCTTCTTCCTCCTCCTTCAGACAGGGTCTCTCACTAGCCTGGACAGTAAGCCCTGAAGATTCACCTGTCTCCTCCTCCCCAGCAGTGATTACAAGCTGATGCCACAAAGCCCTGTATTTTTTAAATGGATTCTGGGAATGGAACTCTGGTCCTGGGGCTAGCAAGGCAAGCACTTTACCAACTACCTCCCAAGATCCTATACCTAATATAGTTTCACTTCCAAATAACCTGCTGCCCCTTCTACAGAAAAGTCTAGCAATAGAAACTTAGAATTTTCAAGTACTTTAAAAAAAAAACTTATGGTTTTGTAGGTAAATAACATCCTACTCCTCCTTCATGGTTTTAAAAAGTGTAATGGTGAATGGGGCTGAAGAGATGGTTCAAGTAGTTAAGAGCACTGACTGCTCTTCCAGATGACCTGGGTTCAATTCCCACCATCTACATGGTGGCTCACAATGATCTGCAACTCCAGCTCCACAGGGTCTGATGCCTTCTTTTGACTTCCATTAGCACCATGCACACAGGTGGTACACATACAAGCAAAACAGTCATATACATAAAAAATAATTTTTTTAAAGTTTTTAAAAGTGTAATTATAAAGTCTGGCCTGTTACTATAGCTGCCATTGACCAACTACACATGTGTTCTGTACACTGGATTTTAGGGATTAAATGAGGCAGTGAAGACCTCTGGGCTACATTTGGAAAATTTCAAGTCTCTATTTCCTTTTTTCAAACAAAGATAGACAAGACAGAAAGGAAAACTGTCTTGATGCATTAATCTGATATTTTGTCTTTACTATGATTTATTCTCTTCACAGGTTACATTTCTAATACCTCACCTGGTGCCTGAAGAACTATTGGTAAAATTACAGGCGCTTAAGGTATGAAAATGACCACTGGGGACTCCTTTATTAACCTTATTATTGCTTATGGATTCTGTTAACCTAGGAAGTAACAAAGTCAATCATTACAGGAAATAGAAGTGTATGGTCATAAAGCCTTCTGACTTCTGGGAATTTTCAAAACAATCTCATTATCCTCTCAAGGGAATATCAACATTTCTTTCTGTTGGTGGTAATCAGAATTCCCTTACTACTTAGCAGAAATAGTCTTTTCTCACTTAGGAGGAAGGAGTGGTACCATGAATATCCTTAAGCTTGTGCTGGGTTTTTGTGTTTTCTGTTAAAAGGATGAAGACAAAAAAGCTTTACAGGATCAGATAGAGAAATTAAAAGCTGAATTAGAGAATGAAAAGAAGAAGATGGAGAGGTACTGGGCTTATTGATTCACATGGTGTCTGTCTGTAGCCAAGATACTATCTAACCACATCCAAATTTGTTCCAGGTTTAGAAAAGAAGCTGATCGGATCAACAAAAACTGGGAGAGGAAATTTATCATCCTCAGGAACAGGTATAGTGTATACAGTGTTGATATAGGTATATAGACAAATTCCATTTGTAGAAATACAGCCACTCATCTTTCGGGACAACTGGGACTCTTGTAGGTTTTTTGTTGTTGTTGTTGTTCTATATTAATTAATGTTAAATGACCTCACATACTTTTAGTAAGAACTGCAACATGGTTTAAAACAGAAAAGTATTCATAGTCACTTAAAAGAAAGTGGAATTCGGCGCTGGAGAGATGACTCAGAGGTTAAGGGCACTGACTGCACTTCCAGAGGTCCTGAGTTCAATTCCCAGCAACCATATGGTGGCTCACAACCATCTGTAATGAGATCTGGTGCCCTCTTCTGACCTGCAGTCATACATGCTGTATACATAATAAATAAATAAATAAATCTTTAAAAAGAAAGAAAGAAAGAGGAATTCAACACTCCCATTCTCTAGTTCTTTGTTTCCATCCTGAATGTAGTTCGACCTATCCAGGAATCTTCTTCAGCAGCAGTTTGAACATAATCATGAAAAGTGGTTTACATCATCTTCACAAATTGCTTCATATACTAGGTTCTTTACCCACAATTCCTTAATCTCTCACCCACACTTTACTCACATAATCATTTAATTTCTTCTCCCAAAATTATGTTTGCTTTTTTTTTTAAATGGCAAAAGTGGAACTGTGAAATTCTGGACCAGATATTGTAACACATACCTATAATCCTAGCACTTGGAAGAATGGAACAAGAGGATTGCTAAGAGTGTGAGGCTAGCCTTGGCTACATAGGGAGTTCAGAGACAGCCTTTACTCTATAAGTGAAACACTGTCTAAGAAAACATGAACAAGAAAGGATGGAAGAAAAGGTCAGGAGGAGAGAGTGAGGAGGGAGTGCAAGAAGAAACTAAAATCCTGAATAACAGTATCTAATTTTTGCATTGAATATAAATGCTATGCAGAGCAAATGCTTCTTCTCTCCTTTGTCCTACCATCTGAACATTTAAAAATACATTTCCTGTCCACTTGTTTCCTCACTTAATTTCCACCCACATTTTCTTAGTTGTCACATAATTATATTATATCACATAATAACATTCAAGAAACTTAATAGTGAAAGGCAATGATGGACTGATGTGGGTCAGTATATGCCAAGCTTAAAGCTCATGTATGACATTAATACATTGCAATTTGCTCTGCAGGGCAATAAAACACTACATTTACCCTACATGTCATAAGCACATGATATACATCATGTATAAAAATCCTACACCCGATGCCGAAATAGTTAGGACTGGCTAGCAGCCAAGATCTCATGTAATACCAGAAACAATTCCAGATGGTGAGCACAAGTCTCCTTCTCAGGTGAAAATTCTTCTTTGTGCTCCTGTTCGGTTCCATGTATCTGCTGGTGACTCCTGTGCTCTGTGAAATGTGCATCCTTTTTATTTTTGGCTGTCTGATACAAGGTATTACTCTAAAGTCCAGGCAGGTCTTGAACTCACAGCAGTCCTCCTGGTGGAAGAAGAGAAATGACTTCCATAGTTGTCTTCTGACTTCCACACAATGTGGTATGTGCATGTCCACACACAAACACAGAGAGAGTTAAAAAAAGAAAAAAAGGAAATGGTACTGCACTTGAAATATATGGGAAAATGAGTGGGCAGTACATAGCTACCAGGTGTGAGCAGGGGAAGCAGAGCACACCTGCACATGGGCATGCACACCTATACATGGGCTTGCACATGGGCATGCACACCTGCACATGGGTGTAGCTGGAGTTTTCTCTCTGGGTCCCACCAAGTCCCAGCAGTCTGACAGGCCACTTATAAAATAAACACACAGACACTTATATTGTTTACAAACAGTATGGTCATGGCAGGCTTCTTGCTAACTGTTCTTATATCTTAAATTAACCCATTTCTATAAATCTATACCTTGCCATGTGACTCGTGGCTTACCGGCATCTTCACATGTTGCTTGTCATGGTGGCGGCTGGCAGTGTCTCTCTTACTCAGCCTTCCACTTCCCAGAATTTCTCCCCTCTCCTTGTCCTGCCTATACTTCCTGCCTGGCCACTGGCCAATCAGTGTTTTATTTATACAGAATGATATCCACAGCATATGGGTATGAACACCTACACATATTACAAAAAAGGAATGGAGAAGGAATGGGCATTTGGTGTTGAGGAATATTCAGTCCACCACGGTCACTCTTTTGTCCCCCAGATGTTCATGCCCATCCTGCATGCAAAGTGCTATCCCAGGGCACTTTAACTGTTCCTCCCCTCACCCTACTCATCACAGAGTCAGCTCAAGTTTCAACACTTTCTAAGATTCATATCTCAAAGTCTCGATTCTCATTGTCTAAATTCAGGATCAGTGAGGTTCTGGCTATAAATTCATTCTTATGGACTCCCGAAGCTGTGGACAAGACCTTTTGCTCCCAAGTGCAAATGGGATGGGCATTGTATTGACACAGCTGTCAATAATACTAATAAACCTTCGTGTTCAAAAAGGGAGGACAGAGGAAGAAATTTCAAAGGTCATTAGCTGTTTTGTTTTTGTTGTTGTTTTTTGACTCATGCTGGGGGTGGAACCAAGAGCCTTGCCCATGCTAGGCAAGTGTTCTATCACCAAGATACTGCCCCAATATTTTTATTCACTTACAATCACTAGAAAAATCATATCCAGCCACACTTCCAATTCATGTATCACTAACAATGAGTCTCCTCATTGCACTATCCAAAATTAAAATAAGCTAAATATTTCCTAAGTGAGAAGCTGTGATTCTTATTATTTCTGATGCTTAATTTCTCCAATCTTAAGTCGGTGAGAGCCTTCCAAAGATGAAGAACGCACTGTTTTGATCTAATCTTTGATGGTTTCCTTGATTTCTAGTAGAATAACATATCTCAGACTCTCCTTGGGTATTTGTTGCCTTAGAGCCCGAAACAGCCATTTCTCAAAAATACCCTCATTCATTTCCATGAGAACCTACAGTCTGGAGGGGTAGTCATTGCTGTTACTGCTATACTTTTCAGAGCTAGGAAATGTAGGTTTTTTTTTTTAAGGAAGAAGAAATAAGCTAAAATTAACATTTTACTTGGCAACATTTAAAATATTTCTAATGTGGTCCCTACCCACATGATAAGTACTGGTCTTATCCTACGATGTTCATACATCTTATTATATTGCTTCTTTTGTTGCAGCTTCCATATTCTAAAGGATGAAATGTTTACTAGACACACACTTTTCCGGCAATTTGCAATGATTGCTGACACCTCCTTCAATTACATTGTAAGTACTTTGAATACATGTGTCTGTGTCTATGAAAGACACATATTTATTGAATTCCTATAACATTATAGGCTCTAGTGATAACACACAACAGTCACTCTACTAGCTACTGAAAGCATAGAACAAAGTGAAGGGCCCCAAAGAGCTCAGTTAGTGTGAAATAGATGTTAGATGTGTGTAAATAAGGCCGTTACAATGCAGCATGGTAGTTGAGCTGTGATAGAAGTCAGTGTAGATCCCAGAGGATGAGATACTCTTCCTGGGCAGAAGGCTCTGCCCATTTGTTCATCTTTGACCACAAGTTCTATGTTGGGGAATATCAAAGCTCAAGTTCAAGTCCCCAGTCACTTCTAAAGGGAAGAAGGTAAGCACCAAGTCATTCATTTTCAGACTCAAGACTGTACTTACCAGATTTACATCACTAGGACAAAATAACTAAGACCTTTGAAGCAAAGCAGGTCACTTAGCTCACAGTTGGAGCCTCAAAGTCCAGATAACATTGTATAGGCTGGTGGCAAGGACTGCACCATTTCATGACAAACAGCAATGACAGGAGAGTCGAGTGGTCACATCCTGACCCAGGAAGCAGAGAGAACAAGAGAACCCAGGCTTATTCCATGCAACCACCATCTGGTGAAAACCCAATGGTTGCACAAGAACAACAACCTGAGCAGCGCACACCCCAGAGTGACATAAAGACCTCCCACGAGGCACCACCTCATCATGTGTTAGTGGAATGTTAGGGATGTGAACCTTGGTGGCCCAATATGCCATATTCAGACCATAGCATAGCAGACCTGTAGATCAAGTCCAACTCTAAAATAGACTTTTACTTAACCTGTTTCAATGAGAGAGTCCTGCTAATGAGAGGAAAGATGGCCAGTGAAGAAACAGATCTGGTCCATTTCAACTAGCCAGTCAGTCAGCATGATACCCCTTTAAAAGGCTGATGCCACGCTGTTTTATTTGGATAAGTCAAGCTCTTTTTGTTTTGTTTTTAGAACAGGGTGTAAGAAACAGGCTGTAGGGTGTTGCTTTAGGAGGCTTATAGTCTAAAATAAATTTCTTTCCAATTCTTCTCAACATTTTTCACTTTAAGACCATTTTCTAGGTCTAAGTTGTGACAAAGTGTTCTGAAGTATCCTGTCAAGATAGTATTTTTAACTAAACCTATTTAGAAACCTGAGGATTTTAAGAATTGTCTCCTGAGCAGGCAGTGGTGGTGCAAGTCATTAATCCCAGCACTCAGGAGGCAGAGGCAGGTGGATCTCTGTGAGTTCAAGGCCAGCCTGGTCTACAAAGCAAGTTCCAGGACATCCAGGGCTGTTACACAGAGAAACCCTTTCTCAAAAACCGAAAAAAAAAAGAGAGAGA